AATAGTTTCTTTATAAGAAGAGCCAAAAGGATAGTAAATAAAAATACAATTAATCTATCAATTTGAATGGTGGATTGATTGAAAAAGGTTCTTTGTTGTTGAACAATATTTTGATTATTTACAATGTTTTGGTTATTATTATTTATATCGTTATTTCTATTTTTAATTTCATTTGTTGGATTTTGATCCTTATTTAATACCGCTATATTATTATTATTATTATTATTATTATTATTATTATTATTATTATTATTGTTGTTAGTATTATTAAAACTATTGCTTTCCTTGACCATGCCTGCAATTGGAGCATTTAATGGAATTGCTAAATTTTGACCAATTGTAATGTTTGGTGGTGTAGAAGATAAATCCATTGGTTCTAAAGTTTCTATAGTTTCTTCTTCCTCTCTTTGTTCCTCTTCTTTATTATGATTATTGTTTTCGTTTATTTTATCATCGCTATTATTTACATCTTTAACCTCCTCAGTTTTAATATTATTATCTATTTCATTATTGATTTCAAATGGCTTTGGTTCGCTATTTAAACTTGTTGTGGTTGTTGTAGTTGTAGTTGTGGTTGTTGTAGTTGTTGTAGTTGTATTATTATTTACAATTGGTTCACCTAAAGCAAAACGATTATGTGAGTTACATCTTGAGCATTTCCAATCAATTGATTTCTTTGCCAAATCTTTTCTTTCTGCAGACGAAAGATCCAATGCACCTATTGCACCTTTTCCTTCGGTTGGCATAAAACCAATTAATGCTACTAATACAGTTCTTACTAAAATATAATTTAATTATTAATAAAATTAGAAAATACACTATTTAAAAATAATGGGTTATAAAATTCTTACTGCTCCATGATGGTTGCCAATGCTCTGGATGGTGGGCTGAAACAGTTAAACAAATCTTTACATCTGTTTCAAATCTTCCATTTGGTGTTAATAATACAAAATTAGGTGGTTTGAATGGATAGTCTGAAGGAAGAATAATTCTACCATGATAAATACCACCACTAAAATCTGAATCTTGAGGGCCTCTTATAGTAAAATGCCATTCAAAAATATTATCCTAAATGAATAAAAACAAAAATTAATATTTGAAGGTATAGTTATTATTTTTATTTAATTATTTTATTTATTTTATTATTATTCATAATATTATTGTTGTTGCTATTGTTATTGTTATTGCCATTGTTAATGCTATTGCTATTGCATTCCTATTTCTATTTATTTTATTATTGTTAAAGCTATAGTATTTATTTAAATTAATACCTCTAAAGGATAGGCCTTATAATCTGTATTTGTGTCATTTTTTAGTTCTTGAATTTCCCTTAAAATTCTTTTTATTGCTGGATTGTTTGGATTACATCCGTTCATTTTGAAATTATTCTAAAACTATTAAATATAGGTTGAGTTTTATTGAATCCTTTAAAATAATTATATATTCTAAATAATGGTTATATTGAAAAAAAATTCAAAAAATAAAAAATAAAAATTTTTAAATTAAAAAAAAATTTTAAATAAAAAATAAAAAATAAAATAAAATAAATAAATTTTTTTTTTTTTTTTTTTTTTTTTTTGTTTATTTATTTATTCTTAAGTACAGTTGTTTGAAGTTTAAAAATATCAATATTTATAATACAAGGTTTTTTTTTTTTTAAAAAAAAAAAATAAAAAAAAATTAACTTTTATTGGTTGGTGACGAGGATCCAGTCTGGGAAAAAATCTTTTTTTTTTTTTTTATAATATTACCAGATTTATACTTTTTTTTTTTTTTCAATTTAAATTAAAAAAGATTTAAATTTATTTGAATATTCGCATTTGAAGGATTCTCGGTCACTTTTACTGATGGCATTACCTCTTAGGTCTAAGTCGTCTATGGAACCTTTTAAACATGATTGGATGATTAGATGAGCGGTCGGAGTTGTTAATTGATTTCTTGCTAAATTAAGGATTTTAAGGGTTCTGGTGTTGCTAAGACAGTTTAAGATTTCATCTAATTTTTCATCACCAGATATTTCATTATCGGAAAAATTTACAATGGTTATTTTTGATTTGGTGATGGCCTGTAATAAAATTGATAATCTAAAACTATTTAATTTCGTGTGTCTAAGTATAAACTCTTTAATATATCCATTTCTTTTTTTAATTCTACTATCATTATTATTATTATTATTATTATTATTATTATTATTATTATTATTATTATTATTATTATTATTATCAGTACAATTATTTCCTTCTTAATATTTTGATATTAAAGTTATTGTTTTATCATCTGTTTGATTAGAGCTGATATTTAAAATCCTTATTTTGGAGTTTTCTATTACTTGAAATATTGATTTGATTTTTTCTTCAGAGAAAATATTAAACTCTATACGTAATAATCTAACATTGGACTTCATAAGATAGGGTCTAATAGTACAATAGCCCAAAGGGTCAAAGCCAAATTTAAAGTAAACAGCCTCAATTTGATTATTTGTAAAATAATGGTTTTCTTTGGACAGCCATCTACATAAAAGTTTACACCTGTTTATTTGCTTGGTATTTTCGTAAAGATATTTAAATTGATAATGGATATGTTTAATGCACCCGATGGCATATTTGCACCATTGTCTACAAACTAATGAAACTGTATTAAAAGATTTACTTGGGAAAGTAATATCGACTGCATATTGAACAATCTTTAAAACTACTATATCTGGTAATATTATTTTTTTATTATTACCATTTGAATGTAAAATTTCATTGGTTGAAATTAATTCCGAATTTTCACCGCAATTATTTTTTGATATTTTATTTTTTGATATTTTAATTTTTTTATTTTTTTGATTACTATTTTTTTTACCATTTTTATTATTATTTAATTTATTTACATTATTTTTTTTGTAAGTGTTACCGATAGATTCTATCTGTTGTTTATCATTTAAATCTATTTTTATTAAATTATTTATAAATATATTCTTCTCTACAGAAGAAGATGATGGAGTATTTCCCATTTTAATATTAAATTATTTATTATTGTTATTATTGTTAGTATTGAAATTATTATTATTATTAGTATTATTTATAATTTTATTAATATATAAAATTTGTTTTGGATTATTTTAATATGATATACACTAATGTGGAAAAAAACAAAAATTTATATTATTATTGATACTTAATGATTTAATTAAAAAAAAAAAAAACCAAATAAAGATAACTAATAAATCAATTATCTATTAGAAAAAATATGTACATTAAAGTTATGTATTTGAAAAATTTAAAGATATCTTTTTTTTTATTATTATTAATTTTTTTTGATAATACAATGTATATGTGTGTGTGGATAATTTAAATATATTACATGTATGTGGGTGTGTGAGTGAGTGAGTGAGTGAATGTTTTTATTCTTTTTAAAATGGATATATACAATTAAAAAAATTATAAAAATAAAAAATTTATGAAAAATAAATTAAAAAAAAATAAAATATTTTTTTAAAATCTCATAATCAAATGATTATTTTCTTTTTTTTTTTTTTTTCTTTTCATTTTTTTTCATTTTTTTTTTCATTTATTTTTAAAAGTATATATTATATATTAAAATAGTGGTTTGGATATTATTAGGGGGTGTGTTATATTTATTAGTGTGGTGTTAATCAAAAATTCAAAAATTATATTTTGTGTAAAAAATAAAAAAGAAAATAAAAAAAAGAATAAAACTTAACCAACATAAAAGGTAAAAATTTATAAATTTTATTTTTTTATTTTTTTTTTTAAAAATAAATATATTTTGTTTATTAATATAAATAAATATATTATGTACTATAATAATTATTGTAATTTCTAAAAATTGGTTTTTATTTTGTTTTTATACTTTATTATTTAATACAACAACATTATAAAATAGAACACACATATTTTTCATTCATTGAAATTAAATCAAAAAACAATAATTATAATTTTTTTTCAAATTATTTTTTTTTATTTTTTTTTTATTTTTTATTTTTTTTTTTTAATTTTTTAAAATTTTTTTTTAAAATTTTTTAAAATTTTTTTTTCTTAATTGTGTAATAGAACGATTATTCTCTATTTAATTTATATTTTTTTAAAAAATAAACAATAAAATTAAAATAATAAAACTTTTTTTAAAATATCACAAACAAACTCCAAATAAACACAATAAGTAATATTTATAATTTTAAATATTTTATTATTTTCACCACACACAAACACACACCAAAAAATAAATAACATATTTATATATAAAATACATTAAAAATAACCACCCAAAAAGATAATTAATTTTTAATTTTTTTTTAAATATTATAAACAGAACTGGGACAGAGAAGAAAAAAAGGAAAAATAATCGATATCAATAATAATAATAATAAATAACAACAATAACAATTGGAATAAATATTGTTTACATGTATACTTTTTAAAAAAAAAAATCTGGATATATAAATATATTATTTATATAATAGAAATTTATTTATTATAGTTGTATTAATAAAAATAGTAATATTAAACCAATTAGAATTAAAAAACTAACAAAAAAATAAATAATTTTTTAACAACTAATTAAATAATAGTATAGTTTAATAATATATTAGTATATTACAGTAAACTATAGTAATAGAATAATAATACATATAATAATAAAAAATGAAGAGATTCTTTCAGAATCTCTTTAAAAGAAAAGAGGTTCAAAATAATACTTCAAATAAACCTACAGGAACAACAACTCCACAAAGTAGTACACCTCAAAACAATACAAATCCTCAAAACAATACAAGAAAAGAACAACCACAACAAACAGCACCAACAGTAACTACAGCTCCATCAACAACAACAAACAATACAAATACAAATACAAATACAAACAATACAGCTAATCCACAACCATCTCAACAAAACACTAATAATAATAACAATAATAATAATAATAATAATAGTAACAATGTTTTTACTCCAGGTGTAATTTCACCAAAACTAACTTCACCACCAGAAAGTCCAAGACCGCAAAATAATACCACTACACCACAAACGAATAATACACCAAATGCAGCAACTCCAAATAAAACAAATACACCAAATTCACCAAGCACTACTGCCTCACCTTCAAATACAACAAATAATAATAATAATAATAATAATAATAAAACAGATGTTAGTATTAATCATACTAGTAGCGAACAATCTTTAAATAATGTAAACAATAATAATAAAGAAGCAGAGAAACCAAAAGGTCCAACACCAAACGATTATACTCCATTAGATTTTGTGGACTCATCTCCAAAAATCGATTCTGCACAACCAAAAAGAAAAGCATCGGGTCCACCAGAAATTTTACCAGAAGAAATCGATCGAACTGATTTCCTTGGTCAAGGTTCATTTGGTTCTGTATATAAAGGTAAATGTCGTGGTCAAGAAGTAGCTGTAAAAATTCCAAGAAAGCAAAAGCTTAGTTTATATGAATTAACAAGTTTCAGACATGAAGTTAAAATCATGAGGTAATCATCAATTTTAAATATATTTTTAAAAAAAAAAAAAATTATTAATTTTTTTATTATACTATTAAAGTAAAATTTTCCATCCAAATGTAGTATTATTTTTAGGTGCATGCACACAATCAGGCAAAATGCAAATTGTTACAGAACTTTGTCAAACCGATTTAGAAAAACTTCTTCATAATGATCGTACAAAGAAAGAATTTACCTTATTTAGAAGAATGCAAATGGCTAAAGATGCAGCTTTAGGTATGAATTGGTTACATGGAATTACAAGAATTGTTCATAATGATTTAAAAACAGCAAATCTTTTAGTTGATATTAATCTTAGAGTTAAAGTAACTGATTTTGGTTTTAGTCAAATTAAAGAGGGTGAAGAGTTTCAAGATAAAGCAGCTAAGGGAACTCGTATGTATTTTATGACTAATAATAATAATGATTGCAACTAATATTAATTTTTTATTTTTTATTTAAATTTTTAGCATTATGGATGGCTCCTGAAGTTATGATGGGTAATCCATATAATGAAAAAGCAGATGTTTATAGTTTTGGTATTATTTTATGGGAAATTTTAACAAAAGAGGCACCATATTCACATCATAAAGATTACGATATTTTCTTCAACGCAATTTGTCACGAAAGAGAAAGACCACCAATTCCAATTGATACACTTCCAAGTTTACGTCATTTAATTCAAATTTGTTGGGATCACAATCCACAAAACAGACCATCATTCAGCGAAATTCTTTTTAGACTCAATGAAATTCTTATCGATTGTGCAATTGATCTTGATGATGGCAGAAAATTCTGGAAAGATTACTTTTTAGTTCCAAAACAAGAATTACAAGAAGAGGTAGAATGGGCAGATTTTGAAAAAACTTTAAAACAAATTCATAAACAACCAAACTTTGACTATTCACCATTAAAAGAGCTTTTAGTTCAACAATCACATCAAACCGTTCAAAAAACCAAACAAGTAGTTACCATGGATAGATTTGATAAAGTAGCAAAATGGTTTGGACCATTCTACGATCCAAATACCGAAATTATTGAAAATATAAATAAACTCTCTGCAAAAGTTTGGTTCCATGGTGATATTGGCAGAGAACAAGCCACCTCTAGATTATCAAAATCCCCAGAAGGTTCTTTCTTAATTAGATTGTCCTCAACTGAACCAAAGACCTGTCCATTCACTTTATCAATGAAAAATAACCAACACCGTAGAATTCAATTAATCGATGAAAATAATTTTACTGGTTTCAAAATTCAAGGTAAAACTGCAGTTTACAATAGTCTAATCGAATTGGTAGAAAAATGTAACGACTATCCATTATTAGTACCTTGTCCAAAATTCACTCAAGAAAATTTCAATCCTTATGATCCATTCAGTGAATAAAGATTGAAAAAAAAAAAAAAAACAACAATATTTACCAAATTGGTACATTATTATAATAGGTATACCAAAAAAAATAGTACCAATCAATTTATTTAACTTATATATAAAATCAATATTAAAAAAACATTTAAATAAAAATAATAAAAAAAAAATTAAAATAAAATAAATAAATGAAAATAATTTAGTTTATACATTTATTTTTAATGGGTTTTTAAACAAAACAAATTTTACTTTTAAAAAACACAATTATTTATTTCTTTAAATTAATGGGGGTGTTGATTTAACAAATATGGAGATAACATATCCATATTTGTAAACAACAAATATAACCGAGTTTGTAAACGATGTATGAATATGCCCAAGCACTCGATTGAGTTATAAACAGCGATCCATTTTTACTTTTTTATTTATTTATTTATTTTATCACAAAAGTAGATCAAATGTTTATTTTTATAATATTTTTAAATTAAATATTTTTTTTTTATAATTAAAAAAAAAATTCTATTGGTATGGGATATCACTTTATATATTTTTAAAATAAGAAATAAATAATAAATAGTTTCTTTGTGATTACTCAAACAAAGTTTTTTTTCTTTATTATAATATAAATTTAAGAAAATTAGATTTACACCAATTTTATATTTTTATATTTTTAAATTTTTCCTTTTTTTTTTTTTTAAATTTGCCAAATATAGTTTATAAATTAATTTTTGAGAAAGTGGATATCATTAAAATAATATTGTTAAAAGATAAATAAAATTAAGTTTTTAATAAATAAAAAAGGGTTTATATATAATTTTTATTTTAAATTTTAAATTTAATATTAAATTTAAACTTTATTTAATTCGGTTGAATTTATAGTACTATTTGAACGGCTAACACTTAGATTCTTTCTTTTTCGAATTCCTAAAGAGATTAAAGTATCTGAAAGAGTTGGCTTTAATTTATAAAAGAGATAGAACAAGATTGATAAACCGACCCAACCAACAATTAATAAGATTAGTGGGAGGACTGAAGGAGCACCGCCGTATGCTATCCATGAGCAAATTGTAGCGACCAAACATAAACTATATAGTACAGTTCTCATTCTATTTACCCAATCGACAAGACATGGCTTTAGGACAATGTTGATAATTAAAAATATAATGTTAACTGCCAATACAGCACCTAAATAAGTTGTAATTAAAGTTGTGGCAAAGACTGTCATTGCGGCCAAAACAACTTTACCTTGTGCAAATATAAATACGACTCTTGGTTTAAACTTGATTTCTGAAATATTCTGAGTTTGAGACTGAGCAAAAGATGCAGCTGGATAATATATTACAAGTGCAATCAATGAACAAATCATAAATGATATATGTAAACCTTTGAAACAACTAATATTTGGATCACTATCTAATGTTGCTGTTGTTACATTGTTATTGGTTCTTACTGAGCAATCTTCGCCTCCAAACATTGTACTAATAACTGGTAAATACATTGTATTAACTAAAAACCATAAAACTGAATAAATCTTTTGTTGATATTTTGCAATAAAATTTGCTGTATAATTTTCACCCCTGTTATTAATTGAATTTTAAAAATAATTAGTACAGTATAAAAAGAAAAGAAAACTAAATATTATTAACCTACATTTTTCTTGTCATAAAATACAAAATTAATCTAACAGAAACTACGAAAATATATGGAGAGAAAGCAAAAACAAACAATATCCAATACAATACTCTAAAACTTTTATTTGGTGCTGGCACGGCCGCATAGTTAAACCAACGCAATTGTTCGGAACCAGTAAATTGGCTTCCCAGATTGAATGAAAAAGAGCAAACCTGTATAAACTCTATAATAATACCAACAATAATAATAATATTGGTAAAATTAAAGTGTATATCCATAACGCTAGGATCTTCCCAAGCCTCCCCACTCGAACCCACTACATATATCATTAAAATGCATAAAAATAAACAAAACATAAAGATACCAAATAAAATTCTAAAAATTACAGCATTTGTATTTAATTTTAAATCTAGTGTAGTGGGTAAAATCACTACTAAAATACCAACTATGACTGCTAATAATAAAAATAATTTTCCAACACGCTTGAAATAAGGGTTTTTTGATTCCTTTGCTGTATCTATATCTATTGAGTCGTCATCTTCACTATCACTTTCGTTATCCATTTTATTATCAAACGAATTTAATTTTGTATTATTATTATTATTACTGTTGTTACTTTTATTGTTACCTGCTGTCATTTTTTTTTTTTTTTTTTTTTTTAAATTAAAAAAAAAATTAAATTAAAACTAAATTATATGATAATAAAATAATAAATTAATAAAATTATAATATTAATAATAATAATTATGATTATTCTTTTTTTAAAATGTTAATGATTTTTATTTTTTGTTATATTGTTATTTTTGTTTTTATTTCTGTCTTTAAAAATTATCATAATAAATTGAATATTTTTTATATAATAGTTTTTTCTCTTGTTATTATTATATTATTATTAGGAGTAGGAGGAGGAATGTAGTACTATTATTGTTTTTATTATTATTATTATTATTATTATTATTTTATATAATTTGTTTATAAAATATCAATTATTATAATATAAACAAGTGGTTATTAATACAAGAGATTAAATGTGGTATTTATTTTTTTTTTTTGGGGGGGAGTTTTATTTTACTTTTTTAAAAATTTGAATAAACTATTTAATTTATTAGATCTATTAAACAATTTGAAAAAAAGAGGATAAATAATAGGGAAATTGTGAAAATAATAAAACAACTATTGGTTTTAATATAATACAAAAAAAAAAAAAAAAAAAAAAAAAAAAAAGATTTTAAATATATGGTTTTCTTTTTTTAAAAAAGGGAATAAATAATAAATAATAAATAATCCCAAAAAAAAAAAAAAAGTACAAACAATCCAACAAAAATAACCAAAAAAAAGTTTAAAAAAAAGTTAAAAAATAAAAAAATATTTTTTTTTATAAATAACTATCGAGTATAAAAAAAAATGAAAAAATAAATTATTTTAAAAAAAAAAAAAAATAAAAAAAATAAAAAAAAAAAAGATTTATCAACAATCACAATTTTATCTTGAAAGAGATTAAACTAAAATTACAAAAGAAATTAAATTTATTGATTTATTTTATAAGTAAATTTTTTTGATGGTTCTTCCTGTTGTTGTGATTGTTTTTGTTTATATTGATTATAAAAAATTTCAAAATCTCTTAAGCTTTCGGGGGTAGAATCAGGAGCAGGAATAATCTGGGCTCTAATTAATACCTTTTCGCCATTAACTTGGTGCACTTTAGTTTGATTTGGTGATTTATAAATTGATAACTGCTCCTCTTTATTTTTAACCAATGGTACAAATCTAACAACTCCACATGATTTTACACTAACCATGCCATCTATATCTTTATCTACAATCATTAATTCATGGAAATCTTCAGACTTACCTACTGGCATGATCATTCTACCACCTTGTTTTAATTGGTCTATTAATGTAGCTGCAACCCCTAATGATTCGATGGCGGCACCCAAATAAATAACATCATACTTTGTGCCATTATCATAACCTTGGATACCATCGCCCACTTTAAACTCGATTCTATTTAATAGCTCACTATCTAATTTATTAATACTATTCTTAGCTCTATCAACCAATTCTGGGATATGTTCAACACCAACCACTTTACCTGTTGCACCCATTAAATCTGCCAAACATGCACCTATTTATAATAAAAGAATCAATATCAATATAATGATTTTTAAATACCTTTAACATTAACAATACCTACTAACAAACCCTGAACCGCTACCGATATCTAGCGCCAAACCATTATTCTTTGGTATATAAGCAGCTAAATAATCCAACATTACAGCATGCATATGTGGTGCTGAAATTGTAGCATTATAACCTATTGGTTTGGGCTCATCATAATATGGATTTTTACAATCCTCATCCAAAAACAATTTTCTATCGACATATCTTAATGTTTTAACAATATCTCTATTTAATACCATTCTTTTTTCTAATTATAATAATTAATGACAATGGGTTAGTAATTTTTTTTTTTTTTTTTTTTTTGTGTTCAAAACTACACTTACGATAATGAAGTAAATCTACTAATTCATTTTGTGTTTGTGGCAATGGATTAATTCTTCTTTTGAAAAACTCTTGTTTATATGATAAATAAGCTAAAGATGAAACTGTTATTACACCTAGTGATACAATTAAACTAGTTTTATTATCTTCTATAAATCTTTTCATTTTTTTTTTTTTGTTACAATAACACAACCAAATTAAATCAATCAATTTGATATTTGAGAAATTATAAAAAAAAAAAAAAAAATTACATTTTTAATTTAAATAAATTATTAAAAAAAAAAAAAATTTTAAATTGAATTTTTTTTTTGTAAAAATTTTTTTTGAATTGTTTTATTTAAAAAATATTATAATTTTATTCTATTTTTAGATTGTGTTTATTTTAAAAAAACACTGTTGATCGATTTTAATTATTAAAATTTTATAAACATTTTAAAAGTAATTTTGTGGAAAAAACAGTAATAAAAACAAATTCGTTTGATTTTTAAAAAAAAAAAACCACAAACAATAATTAATAAAAGGTTTGATTAAATTTTTTTTTCTTGTTATTTATTTAATTGTTTATTACTATTTTTTTTTTTTCTATTATTTTATTTTATTTTATTTTATTTTATTTTTTGTTTTGAAAATAGGTATGCATATATAACACATACAAACGTTATAATCTCATACACAAAAGGATACCATCCTGTGTTTTGATCCAAAGAAATAATAAAAAGGTTACTTAA